TTTTTTTTTTTTTTGAAACAAATATGTTTTTCCTTTTGCAAATAATTGACAGTTAACAAAAATAAAAAAGCAGAAAGAACTGAAGTATTGAACTAAAAAAAACTAAAAGAATTTTACTAGTCAGTAACGAAGAAACAATTTTTTTCTTTACTTGTCACTTTTTCTAAACGTTTCTAACTTTGTCATCTGTGTAGCTACTGATCAGTCAATATGAAGCTGCTCAACAGTACAGCATCAATCAAATTACAGCAAAATTATATTCAATAAGGTATGAGAAAAAATAAAAATAAAAATATATATCAGATATGATTGATCAGAACGATAACTACAGTAAAACTTCTGAACTTTGATATGCATCATTTGACGGCATATCTGTTATGCTAACATAGTTGATTGTCTACAGTTGATCTTTTTTTTTATCTTCTAGTTTTGCTCGTTGATACAACACCATTTATTCAAGTTATGCTAAACAGTTTCTTGTTACTTTATTTACAGCAGCCAGAGAACAACGAGTAATTGAATTGGCGCTTGAACATTGGCACAATATTACTTGCTTAGACTTCGAACGACAGGATGATGAACCAACTGGAAACCGAATCGTGTTTACAGACGTTGATGGATGTGCTTCCAATGTTGGACGGCACCCATTGGGCGAGCCACAGTATGTATCACTTGCACCCGAATGTATCCGGGTAGGTACACTGAGCTGATAAAGTTGCTGAATTAATCACTAAAATACTATAGTAATGACATTTCAGATAAAAACCTGTCGTGTTGTTTTGTAAAAGTAGAGAGTAAACAAAAGATAAAAGAAGGAGAAGTAAAAATTCAATTTTTTTTTTGTCAAATATGACCTCATACTGGTATTCTTTCATAACCAGTTTTTAAGTTTCCATTCAAAAAAAAAATTTCCTTGATGAAAGACAAAAAAGAAGAACAAGAAGAGAAAGAAAAAAGATTTCCTAAAAGAATAGATTATTTTACCTTTAAAATTTTTTACCTATTTCTGTTAAATTAACTATATTAACCGGTTTCCAGACACTGATTAGGACTGTAACCAGGCAAAAACTATTATTCAGTTTTTTTGGTCTTTTTCAGCTAATCTAACTATTTCAACAAATTATTCAATTACTTTCATTTTTCTTGTTTTGTCTATTACAGTCACTAAAGAATTAGTTTAAATTTTAAAAAAAAAAAATTATCAATTTTTTTCCTTTCTTCAGTAACCTTATAAGGAATTTGTAGATACCAATAGACAACACAACAATTTTACCATTCACTCAAGTACTTTTTTTTTGGTTTTGAACTAATAAATATCGAGATTACTGTGTTAAAGTAACATTAAAGTCTCTATAACAGAATAAGCTTTTTAGCTTGGCGTTATTGCGCATGAAGTTGCACATGCACTTGGTTTTTGGCATGAGCAGTCTCGACCAGATCGTGACGACTACGTTACGGTTCGTTGGGAGAATATCGACAAGGATAGTAAGGGACAGTTCTTAAAGGAACAACCGGTTGATGTGGATACTGGATCGGTACCCTACGACTATGGAAGTATTATGCATTATAGGTTTGTTAAAAGTTCATCTCATTTAATTCCAGTTGCTACAGGATCCTATTCAACCACCAGTTACTGCTTTTGGTTCTTTCTTTTCATTCGACTAAACTGTAAAACTTGTAACATGGTTAAGTATTACAAAACACCAAATTCTGACTGCAGTAACTTGGTTTCAGTTAAACAGTTTCTGTAAGCCGTAAAATAAGAAATTTTAGCAATTGGTTATTTAAATGAAAATTAAAAAGAAAAAACGCTTTTTTTCTATTAAAGTTTTGTAAGTTTTTGTCTAAAATTATGAATTAGCCAATGATTCGTTTTACTGCTACTGTTTATCAGCATTAATCGTTATTTACTGAGACTGTACAGCTGTAAAACTAAGTGTTACAAAGAAAAAATTATGTAGTAGGAAACTGTTGAGAAGTTGACAATTACCACTAAAAATGACAATCGATTTGCTGAACAACCTCTTTTCTTTTCCACACTTTTAGACCATTGTCAATCCAAAACAACAGAACTACCGCAACTGTCAGTTGACAACAACTGTAAAAAGCAATTTTTATTTTTAGTTTCACGTTTTCTTCTTTAACAAACACTCTAATAAAAGGTTTTTGATTAGCAAACTCTTTTTTTTTTCTGACAAAAGAAAAATTGAATTTGTTTAGCAATTTTTGTTTTACAAAAGAAAAAAAAAATTATTTTCAAAAGTGCGATTTTTATAAAAATTTTTGTTATTGCTGCGATTTATCACTCAGTGTAACTGACCCATAATTTGATATTGGCCTGCCTAAAAACGATAAATTTTTCAACTTTTTTCGGGTCAGACATTCTGGTATTCAACTTTTTTTTTTTTTTCCTACAAAAACGCGTACATCTTTAGTTATGCAGCACTATTGTATAATCTGCTGTTAATTCCGTCCATTTACAATATTAGATTAACATTTGCTCTAAATTGACAGTTTCGGCTGTTTTCCTTGTTGAACTACAAATAGGCTGTTTAACCGCTGAAAAAGAATTAGGAATTGTGCCGATGCAAAAATAAGTCACGAATATATGCGCTAAAAAAAAAGAAGTTGAACTTTATTTATTAATTAGTTTTGAACAATTATAATATCAATAAATTGTTTTAAGCTTTACATAAAATTTCCTTTTTTTCATCCCCAATTATCTCCTCTTTTTCTTAACCTTAATTACAGCAACGCAGATAGTTGATGAATATTTAATAATGCACATAACTTTATATAACTGGTTGAATCAAAGAAGTCAAACCAGAAAATTTATTGTTAGGTAAACCATAAAAAATTTTGCTCACACTTCCTGTAGGTTTTTTACTTCCGTTGGATAAGATCTGATGAGAAGCAAAATAACAGTTGGTTAATGAAGAAATTTCTTCATGCCAAACCATTACTGTTATGCAATGACAACTACTGATTCAGGAGTAAAGCATTTGCTCGTTACGATGATTTGTTTACCTTAAACACCAATATTGCGGATTATCAGAAAACTATTGGCCAACGTGATCAGCTATCGTTCAATGACATAAGGTTGATGAATGTCATCTACTGCAGCGATGTCTGCCCACAAAAACTTCCTTGTCAACGGGGTGGTTATACAGATCCACGCCGATGTGACCGTTGTCGATGCCCAGACGGTTTTATTGGACAGGTATGCTAGTAGAAAAAATATTTAACCGTCTTTAACTGAAAAAATAATGTAACATAATCATTTACTGCACAAATTTCAACAAAGTTATAGTAAGTTAACAACACCGAATAGTGCTCAAAGATTTAGTTATGCGAACATGTGATGCCTGGATATGGTGCAAACTGTGGTGGCGTCGTAGAAGTAACGCCAGAATGGGCCAGGATCAGTAGCCCAAATTATCCTGGAGAATTCCGTGAAGGTCAAGAATGTAGCTGGCTACTAAAAGCACCGAAAGGCCAACGTGTAGAATTCCAGTTCTATGGCGAATTTGAAATGTACTGCAAAGTTAGGCATTCCCTATGTATGGATTACGTTGAAATCCGTAATTCAACAGATTTTGCGAATACGGGTATGAGGTGAGTTAATCTAAATGCGACTTCTTAGAAGTGATTTCAGAATTCATCAGAGTTTCGTAATCTAAACGGGCAATAAAAAAGATATTTAACAGGCTGAAGAAAACAAATTTTTAGAAGAGTCACATACTGATTCAATAAGAATTGCGCTACAGATACTACAAGTTGTAACAAATTACCTCGTAACATCTGAATTTTTTAGATACTGTTGCTTTGGAACTCCAAAATCCCCGATAGTTTCCGCAACAGAAGATATGTTAGTTTTGTTTAGATCATTTTACCGAGGGGGTAAAGGTTTCCAAGCTCAAGTTCGCTCAATTCCTCCATCAGGTAAGATGCACTCAGTTTTATACATTGATATTCTAGTCTCTTTTACCATCATGACTTATACAAAACAGAAATAAATTCCTTGGAAAATTTACAATAGATTTTTGATATTCCTAAATCTCCTAACAGCTCTGTGCAAAAATGTATAATTCTGCCGTGAAATATCAAATTTCAGCGTTGCCGACTCGTGGAGTACGACTTAGATTAGAGTACAATCCAGAATCCAGTTTTTATCAGTTAGATGAAAAAGAATAAAATGTAAGTTTTAAGGCTTACAGTTACTTCTGCTACAAATAGTTTTAAAAAAACGAAGGTAAGTTATGTTGAATTTGGATGCTAACTGTTGAAAAAGAACCATTCATCTTTTCTTTCAAATGTCTAAACTAGAGAATAAAGCAGCAGAATAATAAAACATTTTCAGAGGTAAATGGGAACGAGGAAAATATATGAAAAAGATCTCGAATTGCAATGAAACACATATAACTTTTAATAATGATTCTTGAACATTACTTGAAATTAACTCAGGTCGAAATAAGGAAAAAAATAATAATAAGATATAAAATATGAATTGAAAATCTTATAAATTCTCTACTTGTTTGAAGTAGTTCTCCCCCCTTGAAAGCAAATCGCGCATTAAATAAGCCACTTTAAACCTTAACCCTCGTCATGACTACATTTGTTTATTGGAAAGGTTGTTGTGACTTGTAAATCTGTGGAAGTAAAGGTACTTTAGGATTTATCTTGGTTAAACCAAGATTTCTGCCCAAACAACACAGTAACGCCAAATTCCTGCTAAAAACAACATGGCTTTGCACCGAACATTTCTTTTCTTATCATTTCGACCTGAGTTTCTCTTGTATGAATAATGTAAAATTGTGCTTTCCTTACTCAAACACTGTGTTTCGAGTAGTGTAAATGGTCTAGAAAAATGTTTATTAGATCTCAAATCATTAAAAAACTTCATTTGCAGCTTTTTTGGTTAAGCCAAACATCAGGATTTTACGAAGTATTCAATGTCCAGAATTTTTTAATGTTAAGAATACATTAAAATAATCCAACCATAGCAAATGCTAATAATCAAATCAGGAGTGCATCCGTATCTTAGTAAACACCTTAGTATCCAAGTTGGAAATAACCGCCATGCTACAAAATAACTCTTCCTTGGATATAAATGCTCCATTCCCTTCCCTCATTTTTCTGCCTTTTCGATTCGGAAATTCTGTAGTCATATCCAGCTTCACTCATCAAATTG